TTAATTTTCAAGGATATTGTGGACCTGTGGAGAGGCAGATGGTAATGGGGCAAATTAAAATGCCACAAAGCTCACTGAGATTCAGCCATTTTTTAAAATATTCTTTTCATATTATTGTAAGCTTTTGATTAATTTCCAAAGTTCTGAAAAAGTTGATTTTGACAAAATTTGCCAGTGTTCTCCTTGCTTTTTATGGAGGAGTGGATTTTCAGAGGTCTTTATTCTGCCATTCTAGAAGTGATTCTCACACCACAATATTTTTGATGTTTAAGTCATTCAGAAATTCTCTCCTTTCTAGAGAATAAGATGCATTGTATGTAATATCTAAATGGAGTGTAGTGGAGGAGGGTTGAAGAGAATTGTCTCTTTTGAAGCAAACCTATCCATTTATGCAATATTAATTTAATGTCTACTATATGTAGATCACTGTCATAGGTGCTAGGGAGAGAAAATGAAAAAGGCATAATAACCTACTCACATTCTACCAAAGAAGACAGATACATAAATAACACAATGTAACTCACTGTGGTATTTATTATAATAGATATAATAACAAATTTTGATGGGATGAATTAATTCAATGTGAGAAGTCTGAGGAGGAGGTGATCTAAGAGCTGAACATGACTCATGAGTTATAGTTTGCCAAACAGAGATGAGAGGCAGACATCCAGACAAGAAGGCATCGCTAGAGCCCATAAATTGTTGGGACATGTTAGTGCATGGTGACTAATGCCTGGGAAGAAGTTGTAGCTGGAAAGGGAGCATGAAGTAAGACAGTGAGGAACTTTGGCTAAAGAAGGCCTTGACTAAGAGAAGTTTAAACTCTAGTTCTTCAGGTAATGGAAAGTCATAGAAAGTTTTTCAGTAGAGAAATTGCTGAATCATTAACTTACTTAACAAATATTTACTCAATATCTATTACATGTTATGTGCTGTTCTAGGTATTGGGGACACCGCAGTAAACAAGAGAATGGTCTTGACCTCATGGACCTTACTTTCTCGGGGTGGGCAGGGGAGAACACAATGAGAAAAAATATTAAATATGTAATATAGATTTAGGTAGGAATGAGTACTATGAATTACAAAGCAGGGGAAGACATTTGAGGGTTAAAGAGAGCTTCAGAGACAAGAGGGTGGGAGGCTAGGTAGGAATAGTCAAGGGAAGCTGTCTCTGAAGAGTGGAAAGTCATTGCAATGAATGAGAGAGAAAGCCATCGGAAGACAGAAGCAGCACATTCAGGGAGGAGCATGACATGTTTGAATACCCCTAGGCAATAATGGAATTGGGTTTTTCAAAGAATGACAAGAGGTTTGGGGAGTGATGAAAAGGGAAACATGCGGTCTAGCAAAGAAGCATGGGTCAGAAAATGGCCTTGTAGAGCAAGGAAAGGGTTAAATAATGGAATTGGGTTTTTCAAAGAATGACAAGAGGTTTGGGGAGTGAAGAAAAGGGGAACATGCGGTCTAGCAAAGAAGCATGGGTCAGAAAATGGCCTTGTAGAGCAAGGAAAGGGTTTCAGTTTTACTGTAAGGGTAGGGGAAGCCATCAGGGGATTTTCAGAAGTGACATGATCTGATTTACATTTTCAAAAGATCTTTGGTTGCCTGTGTGAAAAGGGACAGTAGAGAGGCAAGAGTGGAAAAAATAGATCAGTTTATTTGATATACTATGGTGGCCTGGATGAGGTGGTGTCAGTAGAGCTGGTGACATGTGCTTGGATTTAAGATGTATTTTACAAGTAAAGCAATGGAACTTGCCAAGGGAAAGTTAAAAGAAAGAAAAATTCACGGCTGATTACTAGGCTATAAGCTTAAGCAACTGAGTGAATGGTGGTGCCAGTAAAGGACAAGGGGGCAGAGAGAAGAAGCAAGGGTCAGATCTGGGGCACGCTGAGTTTGAGATGGCTATCAGCTCTGTAAGTGCCGACTTCAAGGAGGAAGGTGATATTTGGGTCTAGTGCTTTAGAGAGAAGTCAGGCTGGGTACAAAAACTTGAGTCATGAACTTGGAGATGGGATTAGATGAGTTACCTAGGGAATGAATTTGGTGAACAAATTTGTCGTTTATGAATAAGATAGCAAGATTAAATTACATTTTTAAGCATCGTTTTAGTGTAGCCTGAGTACAGATTTTTATTTCTCCCTTTATATATCCCAATCTCATCATCAGTATTTTCTGCTGCTTCATTACGAACCAATTAGCTTCATATTGTTAGTATTAACAGTAATATCCATTAAGTGCCTCCTCGAGGCAAGCAGTGGACACATTTCTGTTGAAGAAATGTCTTCTTTCTGTTCTTATGCAGAAAGCTTATCAGCTGTGGAGTTCTACATTATGCCATTCTGCTGTAGTTCATTATGCTTAACAAAGAAAGTGTCAGTTGCACATAATAGAACTGTATTTTGTGTGTTATAGGTCACTTTGGTTTGGAAAATTGTTAAGCAATCACTTTTTTGTCTCCTAGTCCCATCTGGACTTTGAATATTAAATTTTTTAGAGCAGGCTTAACATTTGCATTAGCAAATAATGTCCTTTGCCTTCCTACTCACTGAACTATGAAAATTAGTCTGCATTGTTATTTGATAATCTGTTTCAAAATAATGTTTCAGTTTGGAGGGTGGGGGGAATAATTTCCTTATGTGATGGAGACTATTTAGTGAATCGGTAAAGAAACAAAAGGAACCAGACTTGATTCTGAATTCCTTTCCAAAAGTCCTTAAAGCCTTCTTACAAATGAAAATTTTCTTCTGACCCCATAGGACAACCTAAGAATGAGCAGAGGGATTGCATGACCTCAGAATAAAATAACTACCATTTCCACATTGTGTTCCTCAGGCATCGTGCCTTTGGGTCAGTGGTATATAAGAACAGGGTTAAATGGGCCAGTGGAGAACGAAATGGAAAGGAGAGAGACAGAGAGTGGCTTGGGGGAAGCAGCTTGGGTTTCCTAAAGTCAAATACACAAAGAACACTTGGAATTAGTATGTATGTTTAATAGTAAATTCAGCTTTTTTGTATAAAAGGGAGGAATAGAGAGGGAAAAGAAATAGAGTCCTTTAAGGAAAAAATATATATAATCTTAAAATCTGTATTATCTATCTTACTAAAGAGAGAAAGAAATGACAATGAAAAAATGGCACTTCTTTTAGACACTAGATTATCTTCTGGAAATGTGTGAAAAGTAGCCACTTGGAGGGAATATTGGAGCATCGAAT